GGTGGGAAATAAACGCTGGCCATAAAAATAAACCTTTTCTTTAAATAAAACTGAGGGCATCTGCCCTCAGAGGTCAACAAAAAATGTCCAATGGCACCATTTCAAAAAAAAAGACACAGAGCTCTCCGCAAAGACTTGGCCAATATTTAATCCCTTGGCAATCACCCCTAAAACAGTTATCTGATCATTATTGGAACATGCAGTGAATGAATTTGACTGAGACATTTCCTACAATACAACAATGACTGCACTTCAAAAAGGTGCTTAACTATACCTTTAGGTTGCCTGAGCAAATAAGACACTGTATGTGGGCAAGTATTTCATTTTTATCACTAATATTGTGAATTCAGTGCAAAGAACATAACTAGTTCAACAAAACCTTGCAAACTGCCAATATGGAGCACAACAAAGGACAAGACAGCAGACTCAAGGGATCACCTTCACCTCTAAGTTCCACTTCAAACTTAGAACGAGATCAACACCCCTTCATTGGCAGTGGGTCAAAATCCTGAAACTCCCTTCTGAATAGCATTGTCGATAAACTTAACATTACACAGACTGCAGTGTTTAAGGAGTCAGGTCACCACCACTTTCTCAAGGGCAGTAAGGGATGGGCAATAAATGCTTGCCTTACCAGGGACGCTCATATTCCAAGAACAAATAAAAATAATGTCACAGTCAGATTATGCTGGCACAATTTCCACAGTCCAGTTGATTTACAAATTAAGTGTGAGGGAGCTGTCTCATTCTGCCAAACTTTGCACTGTAAGACAAAAGCCATTTCCTGAAAGGTTCAAGGCTAATCATTCATGAGTGGACATTGACACAAAAAAAAAATCCATTTATAGACTTAATTGCTGCACTTGTGAATGGATACTCAATGTTCTTCTTGTATGAGAAATGTCAGAGACCAGTTTATTTTAATGTTCAAGTCATTATTGAGATTTTTACTTAGATGTAAGCATATTAAGATGTTTATACATCTTAGTTTTAAGTAACTGGCCACAAATTGAATCTTAAAATTTAATTTTTACGGCTTGTTAAAGTTAGAACATGTTCCAACTGGATATCTCAACGGAAAATGAACAGACAAGCACAGTTTTACTTCATTAACACACAGGATACGTTGCCTTACTAACTTCAATTGTAGGAGTGGTTGAACTACTTGCAGGAAGGATATACTATCTGTAGGTTTCCTAATACTCCACAGTGCCTACAAAATTCAAGTGTACAGCTCTTTGTTGTGCTTAATTCTATTTTTACCTTTAAAAGGGGAAAATATAAATGTATACGTTTAGAATATGTTAGTATTTTTGGAAGAGTTTGAACTGAAGGAACAGGATAAAATGATATAATTTAGACCCCAAATATGGTTACAATGAATTGTACAAAACACACGCTTTCTCATTAAAAACATCTAAGAAAATATTTAAAAGTGCTCATGCTCAGGTTCCTGTAATGTTGGCTCCATTCAGTCCAGTGAAATATATCAAAATAGAGCAAAATGTGGAGCAACATCGCCATTCCTTGATTGTGGCTGGATCAAAAATTCTTAAACTCCCTCAACAGCACTGGGGTATACCTACACCTCATGAACTGCAGCATTTCAAGTAGCAGCTCCCTAAAACCTTTGCAAGGTAAATTAGAAACAAGCAAGAAATACTGACCTTCTCAGTGATACCCAGATCCCATGAATTAATCGAAGGTAAAGTCAGAGGTTGAAACATTGCTCTAATACCACTTCAAATTTTGTACAAGAAGTTACTAGCATCTTTGATTCCATGTCATTTAGCTCGAGACATAAACAATTCAAAGTCAGTTCGGAAAAGGTATTGGCCATTCTTTTCAAGCCTGCTCTGCCATTCAGTTAGACCATGGTTAATCTGTACCTCCAATCCAAAACCCTACAGTTATGGGATTTGTCTCCTTCCAGGGAAAGAAAGGAAGTCTTTTATTTCTATACAGCCTTCCAGACGTCCCAAAGCTTTTCACAGGCAATTAAGTGCTTTTGAAGTGCAGCCACTGCTGTAATGTAGGAATACAAGGCTTTTTCAATCGACATGTAAAATTTGGCTAATTTTCCACCTGAGTCACACAAAAATCTGGTTTCCAAAGAATGCATAGACGTTTCTGTATTTTAATTTTAATCCCTGGGGTTTGCTGATCTCAACTGTTGTGGAAATGACTTTGGTTGGAGGATCACTGGAACACAGAAGGAGAACGTAAAAATCTGTAAAAGTGAGAAAAAAAACAAGGATTCTCACTTCCTATCTTCATGTACATGTGCAGTCACTGGTTGAAGAATAAATCAGCTGTCAGCAACCCCAGCCACCCTCACCACAATGATGTGCTGAAAAGTTTTAATATCCTAGATCAACAGTGAAGATTGGCTATTCGGCGGCGAATTATCCAGACATCCTCTGTCACTCATGCAGAGTGGCATTCACTACTTAATCGTGGGAGAATAAATAGCATCAATCCAAAACATTTGAGAACAAGATTCAATTTACTTTCATCAATTCTCGGTCACCATTAATAAATGAATTGCAAGCAATGAAAATTATTAAAGAATTCCATAAATGCTTCAATGCAGGTAATTTTCAGTTTTTATATTGTTTCTGATAGTATAGCTTTGAGCTTTGCTGTGCAATCGGTGTCATATTTTTTCTCGTTGCAAAAGAGCAAAGTCTTGATTATATGATATGACGACTTAAAACTAGTAAGTGTGCACTGCTAACTTTTCTACAAGCCATTCCAAAATGTATAAAACTTCATTAGATCACCAAGAGGACCAACTTGCATGTCTGCTGTTCAGGACAAAAGCAATTCATACCAGATGTCATCAGTAACAGAAAAATAAATATTATGTAACACATTTTAACAGAGTCATAGAGATCTACAGCAAGGAAACGGACCTTTCGGTCCAACTCATCCATACCGACCAGATATCCTATTTAAATATAGTCCCATTTGCCAGCATTTGGCCCATATCCCTCTAAATCTTTCCTATTCATGTACCCATCCAGATGCCTTTTAAATGTTGTAATTGTACCAGCCTCCACCACCTCCTCTGGCAGTTCATTCCATACATGCACCACCCTCTGCATGAAAAAGTTGCTCCTTAGGTCCCTTTTAAATCTTTCCCCTCTCACCTTAAACCTATGTCCTCTAGTTTTGGACTCCCCCCTACCCTGGGAGAAAGACTTTGGCTATTCACCCTATCCATGCCCCTCATGATCTTATAAACCTCTATAAGGTCACTCCTCAGCCTCTGACACTCCAGAGAAAATAGCCCCAGCCTATTCAGCCTGTCCCTATAGCTCAAACCCTCCAAATGCAACAAGATCCTCATAAATTTTTTCTGAACCGTTTCAAGTTTTGCAACATCCTTTCTATAGCAGGGAGACCAGAATTATATGCAGTATTCCAATAGTGGCCTAACCAATGCCCTGTACAGCTGCAACATGACCTCCTAACTCCTATACTCAATGGACTGACCAATAAAGACAAGTGCACGAAACGCCTTCTTCATTACTGTCTACCTGCAACTATATTTTCAAAGACTATGAACCTGCATGACAAAAAAGGGAAAATAAAGGATTTCAAATCTGGTATTATGTGACATAAACTGTACCTATTCAAACATTGTAAATACACATGCGCATTCAAAATTGAGAGATAAAAAACAAATGTGAGACCTCTTGACTGGAAGGATAAAATCCTCTAGCACTATTTCAAAGAGCAGGGAGGAACCATCCCAGGTGCCCTGGGCAAAAGATATTCCTCTCCCACCACCGCTAAAAACAGATTACCTGCTCATTAACATACAGCTGTCCATGGGGGTCTTAGTGTACAAATATACACTGCTGTACTCCCTACATGACAGAATTGACTACACTTCAAAGATTACTTAATTGGCTCGAAAATGCATTGGTATGTCATGAAATTACAAATGGCACCATATAAATGTAAGCCAGTATTTCCTTCTCTCATTCCATTTCCATACTCAGTTCTCATCATTCATGCAGCAAAGCATTCTGACATCTTTCAGGTCAGAAAGTCAAAGAGATATATATCTTGGAAACAGACCCTTTGGTCCAACTCATCCTTGCCGACCAGATACCCTAAATAAATTTCGTCCCGTTTGCCAGCATTTGGCCAATATCCCTCTAAACCGTTCCCATTTATGTACCCATCCAGATGCCTTCAAACATTATAATTGTACCAGCCTGCACCACTTCCTCTGGCAGTTCATTCCATACACGCACCACCCTCTGCATGAAAAAGTTGCCCCTTAGGTCCCTTCTAAATATTTCCCCTCTCACCTTAAACCTATGCCCTCTAGTTTTGGACTCCCCCACCCCAGGGAAAAGACCTTGTCTATTTACACTATCCATGCCCCTCATGATTTTATAAATCTCTAAGGTCACCCCTCAGCCTCCGATGCTTCAGTGAAAATAGCCCCAGCCTATTCAGCATCTCCCCATAGCTCAAACCCTCCAACCCTGGCAACATCGTTGTAAGTCTTTTCTGAATCTTTTCAAGTCTCAAACATCCTCCCTATAGCAGGGAGACCAGAATTGCACACAGTATTCCAATAGTAGCCTAACCAATGTTGTGTACAGCCGCAATATGACCTCCCAACTCCTATATTCAATGTACTTGGCAATAAAGGCAAGCATACCAAATGCCTTCTTGACTATCCTTTATATCTGCCACAAAACACATGAGGGAAACATCAGAATTTATATTTTTTAAACTATACCGACTCTCATAAAAGGGCTTTCTGGTACGTAACTAAGTGACAAGTTACAGTTTCTAACTTTGCTAAGCAATTTTCCAACAAAATAGTACATTTTTTGGGATTGTTTCTTGAGCTTGAAAGTCAATTTCTGCAAAGTGATTGTACAGTCCATTCAAAAAAATCACAACCCAGTTATATCTTCAAAATGCAAAATAAAAGTAGGAGTTAAGTTACAGATTGATAACTCGTCACTTACAGCATTGGAGTCCACATCACTATGAATTGCAACTGTTTTTATGCCCATCTTCTTGCAAGTCTTAATGATCTACAAAAGAAAGACAAAAACTGTGAAGTCAATTATTTAATGTTTTTTTTAAATAATTAAATTCGCAAAACATTTTTCTGTTGAAAATTTCCTCCTTTCTTTCTAATTGATAGCACTCTCACCTCCAAAACAATTGGATGACAATATTCATTATTATGGTTAGCATTCCATAATCAGATAACAGAAACAATGTCACATTTTTGCATAGTGAACCAGGCCACTAATGCCAATTGTCACAGCAGCAAGGGGGCAGAATTAATCTTGACACCGATTGCTCCTAATTTCTACAGTCTTTATGTCGACATGAATCAATTATTTTGGAGCGGGGGGAAAAGAAAGCATTTAAAAGACAAAATCTCATTTAAATTTTCTAAAGAACCATCACATAGCATAGAGGGAAGCCATCCAACCCATGGTGGCTGTGCTAGCTCTTAGACTTATCCAGTGGGTCCGACTACCCATGACAGTTCTCCGTAGCCCTGCAAATTTGTAAATTTCTTTTTAAGTACTTATCAAGTTCCCTTTTGAAGGATACTAGTGAATCTTCCTTTCAGCCACTATATTACGGACTGCAACAACTCAGTGAAAAAGAACTTAACAATGAATGGAAAGGAAATTCCTTCATATTGGTATTGCATTTTGGTAAAACAAAGACAAGACTTATACAATTAAAAGTAGGATCTCAGGCAGTGTTATAGAACAGAGAGACCCAGGAGTTCAGGCACATAATGTTATGAAGCAGAGGTCACCCGCCATCTCCCCCCCGCCCCCCCCACCTCTGATAATTAAAACCAAAACACCCAGAGAAACTCGCCTCGCCTCACCTCAATCTGTTAAAAGAAGTGTGAAAAGTAGTATAAACTGCCTCTCACCTCCCAATCTGTTATAAAGGAGTGGTTAACTGAAATGAAATCCTTTCACTCACTGCATAATCAACAAGTAACAATTTATTTATTTAACTCTAACAGTAAACAAATTAACAGAGCTACTAACAAAGCGAACAATTCCCCCTTAACTACTAATTATTCCAGAATAAAAAAAATTCTAATGTATGCTGTTCCAGTTGATATGACTCCCACTTATATAAACCAAACTAATAAAAAAAATTAAAACTTAATCTCGCAAAATTACAGCCAGGATAAGTCTTCTGGAATGTTCTTTGCCTTCTTCACTGTCCTCCAGTCAGGAACGCCTTCCTCTGTCAAATTCTTGAGTCAGGAATATTAGCAAAGAGTGCCATAGTACCTTTATTTAGATGGTGCTTACTCTGGGAGCTTAGAGATTTCTGTGGGAGCCAGTGAGTTTCTCTCCAGATGGCAGATCGCTCTAACTGATTTTCAAATGCCCTCTTCATTTATACCTTTGATGACCTATTAATTTCTTACAACAGGATTGGTCCTAGGTTATCAAAACCATCAGATTGAAATTTAATTGTTTTTTAGTTTCTAAGTGCTGGGTTTAAATTAATTGGCTGATTTTCAAACTTGTTGCCTTAACAACAAAATAAACCACTGCCTGGGTTGTTATCCACACAGCCTTTTGATACAGTATTTCAATTTCAGGAGCTCTCTATGCACCTGCCCCTTTATTTTTAATCTCCAAGCCTATAAAAAAAACACATCATCTTTTAAAGGGACCAAGCACTCTCTTCCCCCATGCCCCCCATCATTTTACAAACATCAAATTCTAAAGTACTGCCTTCCAATCCACAAATACTCTACCTAAATTCGCAACAATAAGTCTTTAAAGTTTACATCATGCATAAATAGGACCGTTAAGAAGGTGTTTAGCATGCTTGCCTTCAATGCTCAGACCTTTGATTATAGGAGCTGGGACGTCATGTTGAGGATATACAGGACATCGTTGAGGCCTCTTCTGGAGTATGTGTCCAGTTTTGGTCTCCCTGTTATAGAAAGGATACTATTAAGCTAGAGAGAGTTCAGAAGAGATTTACCAGGATGTTGCCCAGAATGCAGGGTTTGAGTTATAAGGACAGGCTGGGACTTTTTCACTGGAGCGTATGAGGTTGAGAGGTGACCTTACAGAGGTTTATAAAATCATGACAGGTATAGATAAGGTGAATGGCAGCTATCTTTTCCCGAGCACGGAGGATTTCAAAACCAGAGGGCATATTTGTAAGGTGAGAGGAGAAAGATTTAAAAAGACATGAGGGACAAGTTTATTTTTTTAAACACAAAAGTGGCTCATATGTGGAATGAACTTCCAGAGGAAGTGGCGGATGCAGGTACAGTTACAACATTTAAAAGACATTTGGATAAGTGCATGAATAAGAAGTGTTTGGAGGGATATGGGCCAAGCGCAGGCAGGCGGGACTAGTTTAGTTTGGGATTATTTTGTTGGCACGGACTGCTTGGACTGAAGAGTCTGTTTCTGTGTTGCATGACTTTATAAATTAAAATTCAGTGATAAACATAGGGACATTTAGCTGTTGATTTTATTGTAGCTTATAGACTTAAATAAGTAATTCAAGTAATTAATGTTCAAAATATACTAAGCAGTTTAAATTCAACCAATAAAGTTTCAGCAACATTAGCCATGTATTGCTCAAGAAGGAAGATCTCCCTCGTTTTCTGTCCATTCTTGTTCATCCTTTGGAGAGATTTTTGCTCATGCATACCAGCGATTTTGAAGAAAAGTTGTCAGAAAAAAAGAACAGAGATAAAGCCAAAGCCAAAGTCATGTCAGTGTCATTCCAGGAAGGACCATTGTTCCTCAGCAGCCAAGTTCCTGTGAAAGAGGAATTATGCCAAAAGTGCAGCTGCTGCAGTTCTGGTTGATCACATCCAGCATCTTGACCACAGAAGTCCTGGAGTTGACCAACAACACAGCCCCCATCATCTAGAGGACCCACACCACCCTCCAGCTGGCCACCAGTAGTGAGGTGAAGTGCAACATGTTGAAGGGTTGAGTAATCAGGGCAGGGTACTGCTTGATATCCAGGACAAAAAGAAGTACAAAGAGCAAATAACGCAGAAAAAACTGAATCTGATAAATCAAATCCTTGCTGCAAAGCAGCCAGAGACACTTGTGAGGTACTAAGCTCATGTTGTGCATGCTCTAGTACACAGGAAACAGTGCAAATCAGACACCATCCAAAGAACACAAGCTTGGAGCAGCAGAAAACCAGTACAAGCTTCACAAAAACAGGGGTTTCCCGTGCAAGAGAAAAATTATTGGGTAAAGTTTGAAAAAGTACTATGTAGCCCCACAGCCAACGCTGTTGGTTTTTTTTAATGGATATTAAGCAAGATGTGTGAGGAAAACATGCATGAATTTTTTTTTGAGCAACAGTGACGTAATGAGTATGCTTCCATAAAGCACTTTAAAAATATTGCAAGTTTCTCCACAGGACCATTAGAAAACAAAAGTTGACGCCATACTGCACAAGGAAATATTAGGATACCGTCAAAGGAGAGGTTTAAAGGAGACATTCAAAAGGAGGAAAGAGAACTGCCAAGCAGACAGCAGATAGAGTCAAAGATATAAAATGTGAGGTTCCATCGGCACAGGCCACTCCATACAACCCTTACTGACCTGAGCAAACCGTGGCAAAGATCAGGAAATGCAACCTTCTAACTGAGCTTCAATAAAAATACAGAGGAAGAAAATTTTAAAACTTATCTGTGGAAATGAAAGCACTAAAGGAAGAAACAGGTATATGGAGTGATGGTGGCACAATGGTAACGTCATTAAACTAGGAATCCAACAGCCAAGGCTAATGCACTGGGGCATGGTCTTGAATCTTACTACAGCAGCTAATGGAATTTAAATCCGATTGATTCAATTTGAAATATAAAACTAGTAATCGTGATCATGACAGTTATCAACGATTGCTGTACAACCCAACTGGTTCACTGATTTCTGTAGTTTGTCTGCCTACAAATGACTCCAGGCCCACAAAAATGTGGTAGTGTGGCTGATACAGTCCACATGGACTTCAGTAAGGCTTTTAACAAGGTTTCACATGGCAGATTGGTTAAAAACTCAACAGCCCATGGGATCCAGGGCAATTTGGCAAATTGGATCCAAAATTGGCTTAGTGGCAGGAAGCAGATGGTCGAAGGGTATACTTGTGATCGGAAGCTTGTGTCCAGTGGTGTACCATAGCAAGCTAGGTCCCTTGCTGTTTGTAGGGTACATTAATGATCTTGACATAAAATGTAGAAGGTACGATCAGTGAGTTTGAAGATTATGCGTACATTACTGCTGTGATAAATATTGTGGAGAAAGGCCTTAGATGACCGAACAACACTGGCAAGCTGGTTTGATGCGCTGAACTGTGGTAAATGGGTTCCAATTCTAAAAAACGTGAGCTGATGCATTTTTGGATGACTAATAGATAAAGGGGGTACACGTTGAATGGTAGGATACTAGGAAGTACAGAGGGACTTCGGGATGTATATGTCCATAGATGCTTGAAGGTAGCAGGATAGATAGTTAAGGTTGTTTAGGTGGCATAAGAGACACATGCCTTTATTAGTCAAGGCATTGAATACAAGAGCAAGGAGGTTATGATCTAATGTAATGTTAGATAGGCCACAGCTGGAATATTGTGCGCAGTTCTGGTCACCATAGGAAGGATGTGATTGCACAAACAGGGTGCAGAGAAGATTCACCAGGTTGTTGCCTGGGCTGGAGTGATTCAGTTATGAAGAGAAACTGGATTAGTTGGGGTTGTTTTTCTTACAGCAAAGAAGGCAGAGGAAAAGTAGAGGTGTTCAAAGTTATGAGGGACAAGGTTAGGACAGATAGGAAGAAATGTGTCCCGTTAGTAGAAGGGTCAAGACTAGGGGCTACAATTTTAAGGTAAACAACAGGAGGTTTAGAGAGGATTTGGGGAAAAGATTTTTCTCCCAGACGGTGGTGGGTATCTGGAACTCACTGCCTAAAAGGGTGGTAGAGGCAGGAACATTCAAGAAATTTAAGAAGTATCAGTTGAGCACTTCAACCAGGGAAGGGGTTATACTGGGCCTGGTTTTAAGAAATGAGCCCAGCCAGGTGAATGAAGTTTCAGTGGGGGAGCATTTCAGGAATAGTGACCATAATATCGCAAGTTTTAAGATTCTCATGGATAGGGGTAACAGCTGTCCTCAGGTGAAGGTGAACTATAACAATGTTAGGCAGGACCTGGAGAATTTTGATTGGAGGCAGCTGTTCAAGGGTAAATCGACATTGGACATGTCGGAGTATTTCGAACGGCAGTTGATAAGAGTTTAGGAGCAGCACCGTTCCTGCAAGAATGAAGGATAGGTATGGCAAGTTACGTGAACCTTGGATGACCAGGGATGTTATGGCCTTGGTCAAAAAGAAAAAGGAAGCATACATTATGTCAAGGAGAGGAGAACTGACAAAGCCCTTGAAGTACATAAATAGGAAAGAACTTAAACAAGGAATTAGAAGGGTTAGAAGGGATCATGAAAATTCGTTAGCAAATAGGATTAAAGAGAATCAGAAGGCATTTTATACATATATAAAAAGCAAGAGGGTAGCCAGGGAAAGGGTTGGCCCACTGAAGGACAAAACAGGGAATCCATGTGTGCAGCCAGAAGAGGTAAGTGAGGTCTTACACAAACACCGTGTGTCAAGTTTCTAAGCCAAGTTGCTAAAGGAAGAGGTGTTGTCCGTCTTAAAACGTATTAAGGTAGATGGGAGAGGAGTTCTGATGGGATCTTTCCCAGAATATTGAGAGAGGCAAGAGAACAAATTCCTGGAGCACTGACAGACATCTTCTTTTCCTCTTTGGCCTCAGGTGATGTCCCAGAGGACTGGAGAAAAACCAATGCTATCCTATTGTTTAAGAAGGGTAGCAGGATAATCCCGGAAATTACAGACCTGTGAGTCTCATGTCAGTGGTAGGGAAATTATTGGAAAAGATTCTCAGAGACAAGAACTAACACATTTTGAAGTGAATTGACTTATTAGCGATAGACAGCATGATTTTGTGTGGTGAAGGTCATGCCTCACTAACTTGAACAAGTTGAGGAATTGATGAAGATGATTGATGAGGGAACAGCAGTTGACATTGTCTACATGAAATTCAGTGAAGCCTTTGACAAGGTCTCTCATGGCAGACTGGTACAAGAGGTAAAGTAACATGGTATCAGGGGTGAGCTGGCAAGATGGATACAGAACTGGCTCAGTCGTAGGAGACAGAGGGTAGCAGTGGAAGGATGCTTTTCAGAATGGAAGGTTGTGACCAGTGGTGTTGCACAGGGATTGCTGTGGACCTTGGCGCCTCAGCGCTTGGACCTCTGCTGTTCGTGGTCTACATAAATGATTTGGAGGAAAGCGTAGCTCGTCTAATTAGTAAGTTTGCAGATAATACAAAGATTGGTGGAGTTGCGGATAGTGAGGAGGATTGTCAAAGGATACAGCAGGATGTAGATCAGTTGGAGACACGGGCTATAAAAAATGGCAGATGGAGTTTAATCCGGTCAAATGTGAGGTACTGCATTTTGGAAGATAAAGTACAGGTCAGAATTATATTGCGAATGGCTGAACCCTTGGGAGTATTGATATACAGAGGGATCTGGGTGTGCAGGTCCACAGATCACTGAAGGTGGCAGCGTAGGTAGATAAGGTAGTAAAAAAGGCTTATGGCATGCTTGCCTTCATTGGAAGGAGCACCGAGTATAAGGATAGACAAGTTATGCTACAGCTTCATACAACTGTTGTTAGGCTATATTTGGAATATTGCATACAGTTCTGGTCACCACTCTACCAGAAGGATGTGGATGCTTTGGGAAGGTACAGAAAAGGTTCATCAGGATGTTGCCTGGTATAGAGGATCTAGTTTTCACCGGAACGCAGGAAGTTGATGGGCAACCTAATAGAAGTTTAAGGTTATGAATGGCATGGATAGAGTTCAAAGTCTGAGGCTTTTTCCCAGGCTGGAGGGTTCAATTACTACAGGTTCAAGGTGCGAGGGGGTAAGTTTAAAAGAGGTGTGTAAGGCAAGTTTTTCCACAAAAAGGGTGGTGAGTGCCTGGAACACATTGCCAGAGGTGGTGGTGGAAGCAGACACAATAGCAGCCTTCAAGAAGCACTTGGACAAATACATGGATAGTAAGCGAATAGAGGGATACGGATCCTATAAATGAAGACAGTTTTAGTATGGAAGGGTGAAATGTGTCAGCGGAGGGCCAAAGGGTCTGTTCCTGTGCTATACTGTTCTTTGTTCCAAATACCATAGCGTATAAGGCTACAGCCATGTGCTGGAATATGGGATTAAAATAGATAGACGTTTGGTGACCAGCACAGACCTAATGGGACAAAGGGCCTTTTTCCATGCTGTAAAATCTCTATGACTCTATGACTCTCTAAGCCATAATTTCAAACAGGAATTGGGACAGCCTTCAAATGCCAAACTTGCTAACAACATCCACATCCCCTGAAACAATAAAGAAGCAAAAACGTAGCAAGCTGCAAAGATATTTAGGGAGTAAATTTCAGAGTTCAGGACCAAGGCTACTGAATGCACAGATTCCTATGGTGGAGCAATGATAACTGTGAATCTGCAAAATGACAGAATTAGAGAAGCACAGAAATCTCGTAGGGTTGTAGGATTAGAGGGAGTTATGGAGATTGAGAGGGTAAGATCATGGAAGGGTTTGGAAACAAGGTTGTGAATTTTAAAATCAAAGGGTTACTGGCCTTGGAACCAAAAGAAACACGCAATTATAGCATTAGTGGGGTCAAGTAAAGAAGGTTTCAAGACAGCTAAACAGATTGGTAAAACAAAATTGGATACCATGCCATAAAGGTCAATATACATTTGTTTCCCAAACCAGCAAGCAATGCTACAGCCGGCCATGGTGCACAAAGTGTTAAGGTTAACCACGAGTCACATTTTAGAACAATTTTCACGCAGTTCCCTGAAATAATTCTTTATTGCCTCTTCTCTTTCAGCTCTATCACTACTGATCTTTGATATTCTTCTTGTTATCATCTGTTCTGTTCAGGATGTCATCCAATTCAGTTTAACTCAAATTCACAGTGGTATATAACTAGACAATAAAACAGAAGAACATTCAGAACCTTGAGTATTTTAAGTGTTTTTATTTTAACCACTCACTGTGCCAAAATTCTGAAAAATCCGCACGAACATGCAGTAGACATTTCCAAGTTGCAAAGAGAATTAACTAAGAATTCAATATAATGTGGCTGAAGTTCAAGGCTAAGCCTTTAACCACATCTTCATCTTTTTTCCATAACAACCAGGAGCACATATTAGGAACTAGAATGGCATCATGCCACGACCTTCTGTACAGTAAAAATAATAGGCAAAAAATCCTGGTTGTACGATTTCCGAATGTTTCCTAATGTTCTCAGCAGAACAGGTTCTGAATTAGGCAGAAGTGCACTCCTTAGAGTTAAAATTGGAAAATAAAGAACAATTCACTCAACCTTTAAAACATAGAGATCTTAACATGAAAGTGCAATTAAATATGTTCTGCTGAAGTAACTCCCTTTTTTGTTGAAATTTTATCTGTACTTTAAATTCCATTGCCTTTTTTCAAAAATGTTAATTTAGTTGCCAATATGAATTGTCTCAAGCTGGATCCATGTTATGCTGGGTCAAATATTGCTGGCGTTCATTGCCAGTTCCCATTAATTGCCAAACAGCAATAAACCAGCCTGCAGCCTATCCCTGGGAAATCATCTAGCTCCTGGATGAAATGTGCATTCTCAAACTAGTGACTACTACTTAATCCCATGGCCATATGACTCCAGAATGGTTCTTGAGCCAATTGGAAGTCATATTTTCCACTGCTGTGACCATGGTGCTACTCAAGGACATTCCCTAATGTTGACACAACAGCTTAACAAGGATAGAGACTTTACATTCTGTCACCAACAAAATTTAATTTTTTTTCAGAAAATAAATGTAAGGTGGTCATTGTCTTCCACGAGGTTTTTTTTTTCAAGGGAGGAAACAGGTTCCTTTGGCAAGTGGATCAATAACCGGGGGCACAGATTTAAAATAATTGACAAGAGATTCAGACGGGCGACGAGGTGAAATTTGCTTTCACACAGCGAGTTATAATCTTACATAATCTGCCTGAAAGGGTGGTGGAAGCACTTTCAGTCAATTTTCAAAATGAAAACCAAGGATATGCATTTAAAAAGTGGAGAGTTACACATTATGGGGAAGGCCAATGGAATGGGACTAATGAATAGTTATTTCACAAGCATACTGAGCCAAATCGACTCCATCCATCCTGTAGAGTTCTATCATTCTAAAAGAGACCCTCTTTAAACACATGCATTCCTCAGACTTAATTTCTCCTTGAACTAGTAAAGTACACGTGGCAATAAAAAAAACAGCTTACCCGGCAGGCAATCTCTCCTCTGTTTGCAACAAGGATTTTGTCAAATGTCTGAGGGAGAAGACAAACATCAAAAGAAAGTAGTTTAATGACAAACAAATACAGTTCATTCATTGCTATAAGTTAAGCTCAATATTTAACAAAGGAAAATTGAAGTGTAATTCTCACTACTTCTGCCAATGTTCTCCCAACCCTTCTTGGCCATAACCCATGGGATCTGACTCCCCTCGAGTAGCTGATCTGAGGAGACACTGCTCAGGGTTTTATTAAGCCTTCTACTAACCAGTAGATAGGTTAAATGTCAGGAAATCTGTCTGATTTCCCCCCTTCTCGGCCGGGGTGGGGTGGAAACTAAGGTGCTTAGGCAAAGTAAAATAAACTATGCTGAACAAATCTGGCCCCATGCTAATTTTCATAATCCTAGTTGCCCTTTAAATTAGCTCTTCTACCTGAATTCCCACCTTTGTGGATCTATCTGTGCACACATCTGGCTCTCTACACCTCTAACATTAACCCTACTTCATGGGTATGTACCCTTTTATTGTTGCTTGCCAAAATGGATCACTTCATATTTCTCACAGCTAAACTGCAACTCTGCCTTTTCGCTCACTCTGCAAACCAACGTTCTCTACCAATTCTCTCTATTCTTGCTTAATTTGCCATGCACCCTCCCTTATTTAATTTGATAGCTGTAAATTCAAATATCATTCCTTCTGTGCCTGTAACCAAATGATTTTCAGAAATGTGTGACAACAAAAATCCCAATATGTGTATTTATTAATGACTATCTTATATTCAGGGCCCTAATGTTAATAAGACATAGGAGCAGTAGTAGGTAATCAAACCCAGCCAGTCTGCTGTGCCATTCGATTTGATCACAGCTGATCTGATAATCCTTAAATCCACCTTCCTGCCTTTTCCCCATAACCCTTGATTCCCTTACTGATTAAAAATCTGTCTAACTCAGCCTTGAATGTATTTAATGACCCAGCAACAACAGCCCTCTGTAGTAAAGAATCCCACAGATTCATGACCCTCAGAGAAGAAACTTCTTCACATCTCTGCCTTAAATGTGCAACCCTTTATGCTGAGATTATGCCCACTGGTCCAAGATTCACTACCTTCCCACATCTACAGTGTCAAGCCCTCCAAGAATCTTACACATTTAAATATGGTCACCTCTCATTCTACAATATTATAATGAGTGCAGGCCCAATGTACTCAACCTCTTCTCCTAAGACAATCCCTCCATATCTGCTACCAGCCTAGTGTTGATCTATCCAAAGTGGAAACATTTTTTCTACATCAATCCCATCAAACCTTTAAGATCCCTACCAAGCAGAACTTACTGGTTCATTTAGATCCGAAACTGTGGAGTACAGCACACGAGAGACAGCAAAGCTGCATCTGGAGAGGGATGATGCATGCTAGAAAAACAAACAGAAAAACACTTGATTAGAACACTGAATTATTGAAATTAGGGAAACATTCACTGTCATATTCAAAGCAACAACTTGTACTAATATGTAGGCTTTAATGTACCAAAGTATCCCAAGCTGCTTCACAGAGGAGATGAAACAGCACCTGACACTGAATGGAGACATTCAACGGAGTGTCTTAAAGGAGGAGGCAACACAATGTGTGGTTTCAGGAATCAGAATAAATTAAGGGACATTGAAACAGGAGAAGGCAATTCAGCCCCTTGACCCTTCACAATAAATTTTGACCAATTTGTATTTAACTCCATCAACCCAACTTGATCCACATCCATCAATGCCCCTGTCTAAAAATCTAGCGAACGTATTCAACCGTTCAAGTCTGCTCAGCCATTCATTGCAATCAGATTAGCCAGGATCTCAATCTCAAACCCACCTTCATATACTCCTACCAACCTTTCACCATTTTTCACATCAGGAATCCATCTATATCTGCCTTAAAAATATTCAAAGACTCTGCTTCCAATACATTTCAGGAAGAGCGTTCCAAAGGTTTATAATTCTCAGAGAAAAAAAATTCAGTTTATCCCCACATGCCGCGTTTTCAACCCGTGATGCAATTAACAAACACTTGGAATTAGGCCCCATATAAAAACCCATGCAGAACAGAACTGAACGGATCATATAAATACCAAGCAGAGTAGAAAAACATCGCTTCATCAGAGGCCGTGTTGATGTTGTTACCTAGCATGGTGACAAAATGTCTGAACGATAACTAGCCAGCTCGGCAAGCAAGCCAACAACCTCAACTAAGATAACAAGGTGTACAGCTGGATGAACACAGCAGGCCAAGCAGCATCAGAGGAGCAGAAAGGCTGATGATTCGGGCCTAGACCCCTCCGGAACAACCTCAGCTTATCCCTTTTCAAATGATTGACCTCTCATCCTTAAACAATGACCTGTCGTTCTAGATAATCCCATATGAGGAGACATCCACTCTACATCTACCCTATTAAGGCCCCTCAGGATCTTTTTTATTTCACCATTGTGCATAGTACTTCACATGCACTCTCAACATCTTCAATTTTGTATTCAATTTCCTTTGTGATGAATGACACCATTTTGTTAGTTAGTTTTCTTAATTACTTGCTGTACCTGCATACTAATCATCTGTGATTCATACACAGATACACCTGGAACTCTCTGCAATTGCTCATCACTGAAATCATGTGTTTTTTTTATTCTTTGTGATAAAATGGACAATTGCACATTTTTCCACACTATATTCCAATTGTCAGATTTTTGCCCACTCACGCACCTGTCTAGATCTTTCTACAGCTTCTTCATATCCTCTTCACAACATACTTTTCTTCAGCTTATCTTTATCTCTTCAGAAAATTTGGCAACCACACCTTCCATACCTTCACACAGTCACATATAAATTGTAAACAAGTACTGATCCCAGGAATACCACTTGTTATTTTTTGCCAACCTTAAAAAGATCCATTTAGGCCTCTCTGCTTCCTACTCATAGAATCACTATTTTGCAGAAACAGGTCATTCTGTCCATTGAGTCTGCACTCACCTTCTGAAAAGTATCCCACCCAGACCCAGTCTCCTACGCTATCCCTGTAACCCCACAGTTACTGTGGTTAACCCATCTAGCCTGTACTCCCCTGGACATGACACACAATTTAGCATGGCCAATCCACCTAACCTGCACATCTTTGGACTGTGGGAGGAAACTGGAGCATCTAGCAGAAACCCATGTAGATACAGGGAGAATGTGCAAACTCCACACAGTCACCCAAGGCTGGAATTGAACCTGGATCCCTAGTGCTGTGAGACAACAGTGCTAGCTCATTTCCAAATCATGCAAAAATGCTACTGCCAACATCACAGGCTTTTATTTTCTGCAATACATTTGAGGTGAGGCTCTATTGATAGTGGAAACCTAAGTACGTTGCATCCACTGGTTCCCCTTTATACACAGCACATTCCCTCCTCAAAAGAAGTCCAATAGATTGGTCAAATGTGTTTCCACTTCACAAAACAACATTCCAGACCCGAAACATCAGCTTTCCTGCTCCTCTGATGCTGCTTGGCCTGCTGTGTTCATCCAGCTCTACACCTTGTTATCACTGACTCTGCCTGATGACTTTGAACTTATCTAAGTGTCCTATTTAATGATAGCTTCTCACGTTTTCCTATGACAGATGATAAACTTTCTCTCCTTTTTTGAATAAGTTACATTCACTATCCTCCACTCAAATAGGACTGACCAAATACCAAGGACGATTTTAGAAAATTAAAACCAAAACATCAACTAGTTCGCTCGACCCTTCTTTTAAGACCCCAGCATGAAGTCCATCAAGACTGGGGCACTTGTCAATCCACAGCTACAACAATTTACTCAGTATCATTTCACTGTTGACTGTGATTTTCCAGAGTTCTTCCCTCCCTTCCATTTCCCGATGTATTGTCACTACTGGAATGTTACTTGAATCCTCTATGGTGAAGACCTGTTCAATTCATCTGCTGTTTTCTTACTTCCACTATTCATTTTCCAGTCGCACTTTAATTTGTTTTGAAAGTTTCAACTGACACCCTTACTCATCGTCCCAATCTCCATGTCAACAGCATTTTTTTTACCTTAGGGTGGGTAATTGGCTGCAGGATGGAGAGTTACAGATATCCACTACCCTTTGTGTGAAGAAATGTTTCCAGACATCACTCCTGAACGTACTCTCTCTAATTTTATGGCCATGTCCTGAACCCCTTAACCACAGGAAATAGTTATTTTTTCTCTCTGTCTAACCCATTACATAGCAAAACTTCTGCACCTGAGCACCCTGGAAGCTGTATCCTTCTGAAATTTGTAACGTCTCATACTGCAATCACCTCAATCCTCTGCCCTCCACTGCTATCCTTAGTTCTTTCGCCCATGTCTCCTTTCCTGTCCTGTTTAATTTCGTGTGGTTCTAAATAGTGAGTGAATTTTAACCAACTACAAGTTAATTGTGTGAGATCTTGTGACATTGTGGATAGTGAGTGACTGTGCAACTGAGCCAGAAGCTCTAGGTTCAAGTCCCAACCCAGGACTTGACTGCCAAGGATGGTGCATCATTACAGAGCCAAACAGGTTCGGTATCAATTTGCAAATGCTTACAATGCATGGAAATGACAGGAGGCAGGAATGGGAGAAATTCCTGGTAGGTCATGGGATTAAATAAACGTTGGCGCCTCTACCATCATTATCCATAGCTCCGGACTACAACACACTTGGAAAACGTTCATGTTGTCACAGCAACTTGGACTCCAAGCTAAGAGTAACACACTACAACACTTTCAAGTGCTGGAGTAAATTCTACATTCTATCATGTTGTGCTTTTCTCACTATGCTTTGAATCTTGTGCAAATTTGACTTCAAAACATGACTAGGGGCATCAAAACAACACCATAAGATTCAGAAACTAGAAAATTTACACAAAATCTTTGGCAGGAACACACCTGGAGTACCGCGAGGAGGTTTGATCTCCTTCTGTGATAAAGGATGTCCTTAGCTTAGAAGGGGTGTAACGAAACTAATTCCTGGGGTGGGATGACAGAACTATACCATGAGTAGAATGGGAATAGACTCTCTAATGTCTAGAAATACGAGAGGTGACTGTAATAAAACATAAACTTCTTGGAAGGTTTGGCAGAGTAAATGTTGAAAGCATGTTCCCTGGCGGACAAATGAATTTTGTCATAGCTAAGTCTGATATTTTATATTTTGCTATTCAAATTAAAAATGGTCACATACAACTTTGAAATGGACTGGAGGAGCAAGGGGATCTTAAGAGTACAAAAATGTTAAAGTCTTGCTGTTCACTGGAAGTGTGTGTTCTTGGAGAACGTCACTGTAAACTATTTTTGCAAATGGCAAAAAGGGTTGACTGCATGTGTACAATATATGGTGCATTTCTAGCATGTTTACTCCCTGAAAACCGCAGATAAGTGAACACTGGAGTCACAAGGGGTTAAAAAAAAGGTATACAGTAAGGATTGTGTGAACGGGTGATTTCACAAAGAGGTGGACACAGGAATGGCACAAAGTTGCGAAGCTGCTTAATAAGATCATCAGAAAAGCAAACCAAGCTCCTGGAGTTATTTCTGAAAGGAAAATGTTGGTAGGCAAGGATGTTATGCTAAATGAATGTTGAACCTTATTAAGACCACACTTGGGGAAGAGTACAGCGCTGGTCACCATATTACAAGAAGGATATAGAGTCACTTGAAAGGTGTTAGAAGGATGACACGCGAACTGTGAGATTATAGGTAACAGGAAAGGATTAACAGAGATAGTAGGAACTGCAGATGCTGGAGAATCCGAGACAACACGGTGCAGGGCTGGATGAACACAGCAGGCCAAGCAGCATCATAGGAGCAGAGAACAGTCTTGTTCTCTTTTCAAGGAGAAAGAAGGGGTGACCTAATAGAGATTTCTGAATTTTTGAGAAGTTTTGATACACTCTCTTAATCCATTGTGTTTGCACTTGTGGGAAAAAAAAACAAACTAGGGACTATTAATAGAAGATAATCATCAAAATATCAAATAGAAAAATCAGAGAAAAATATCTGACCTAGCGAACAGTGAGAATGGGAACCTTGCTATCACAGGGTGCAGTAAAGGAGAATAGTGTAGATGGACTTATGGGGAAACCAAATGAACATATAAGGTTCAAGTGGAGCATGAATGCACACATAGATTGCTAATGCTGAATGACCTGTTTCTATACTGTATCTTTTATGTACAAGTTAGGTAAAATTAGGAGACCTAGTCTCAGGATAAAGGGTTGACTGCTCAGGAATGAGCTGACGAGCAATTTCAACACTCAAAGGATCGTCAATCTTTGGTATTCTCTACTTCAGACAGACATGGATGCTCGATTCTTGTCTGTGTTCAAGTCTGAGATTAATAGAATTTTGAGCAGCAGAATACAGGAAAG